TGTATTACAATTAAAAAAATATTTCCTTTGTTTTCCGGGGACTTGAACTTTTAGTAAGGTGTATTACAATTAAAAAGTCAAAAAATTTCCTTTGTTTTCCGGGGACTTGAAATTACCATTGAAAAAGCTGTAATCATCGCTCACACACAAGATGGTGAAGTAATTAAGGGATGAAAAATGGATCAAGTCATTGTTTTTTTTTTTTTTGTTTTGTTTTTTTTTTGTGAGTTGCATTTCTGTACAGAGAGCCTGGTCATGCACATGTGCACAAAGTATTTCTCTCTGTTGGTTACAAGCAGTGGTTACTGATTCATCATGGCCTTGGCCCAGATGTTCCAGTGGTGTGTGGCGGCAGTGGACGACAGTGTGCACATTTGGTGTGTGTGTGTGTGTGTGTGTGTGACTGCTCCCATGTGCACACTGCTGGGCGTGGCTTTTGCATACATGCATTCATGCAGCCATTTGAGCGCTGTGTGTGTGTGTTTTAGTAATTGGGGAGTGGGTGGGTGTGTTTTGGGGGTTGGGTGGAGTGGGGGCGGGAGGGTGTTTGGACCTTTTTTAAACATAGCTGTGTTGTTATGGTTGCCGGAGCTTTGATGTTGCCAAACCTCCAACTAAGAGGCTCTCATTTCGGGCTCCTGACGCTGGAGCAGGCAATGACTTCCAGATTGGGAGAACCTACTCACCGCCACTCAAGGCTGAGTGCTGTGGTGGGTGAGTAGGTTCCTGGGCAGTGGGGGGTCACGGCAGTCGGGGCAGGTCAGCCCTTGAATGTACACGAGATGATATCTTGTCGTAAAAAAAAAAACGTCGTAAAAGTGTTTATTTATAGGTTTGCATTAATAATAAGGTGTGGTGGTTGCTGTCCTTCGTCCCAGATGCTCCACCACACTCCTCCGAGTTGCGATGGTTTGACAGAGGTCCCACATGTGTAATACATAAAAACCAGATCTTGTTTCCAGTATGTTCTTTTTCACATGCAGAGTTCATAAAACACTCAAGAGTCGATATAGATAATAATGAATTCATATTATTGGGTTGTTTTTTTTTACACTCTAATCACACCTCCTTAAAATATTGTCGTTGAAATTGAGAGCCGTCTCAAGTCACGTGATGACTCAAAGCATTGATGCTGTTTGTTTGCAGGCACTCAGGTGACTGCAGGGATCCCAGGTGAACGCAGTGTTAATTTTTTCCGGGAATGTTCGTTTGTTTTATTGTTCTCTGCCACACCGGGGCAAGGACACGTAGAGAGAAAAAAACAAAAACTATCATGGGTGTTTTTAATGTGTCCCTTCAATGAAATGGGAGATTAAAGACGTGAGACTCAAAGGCACTTGGTGGGGGTGGGTGGGTTACAAAGGAGAGGGCGCTTTAATTTCCGCTTCAGATATGAAAAGAGCTGGAGTGTGTCATCTGAAAACTAAAGAATACATTAGGACTTGGTCTATTCTCAGCCCAAGGATTTTTAAATGAAGGTGTGTTCATGTGTGTGTGCGAGTGGTTTTGTGAAATGCATGCATACATCGGAGAGTGTGTATGTGTGTGTGTGCGACAGGGTCAAGGTGAAGGGCACCATTACAAACAAGTGATGTCTGGGATCCCATTAACTCTCTCTTTCAGCCGCAGATCTCTGTTCAAATGGAGTGGAGATAAAAAGACGGCAACAATATGCTGTTAAATCAAAGGCCTTTCAAGTAAAACGGGACTACAGAGAGAGAGAGACGCGCTCACCGTTTCCTGACGCACTTAAAAAGGTGTTTATCTAATTGGAATTTTTTAAAAGTAATCGCATCTTTGAAGTGATTATATCTTTGATGCCGTCCAACGGACAGTGTGCAGTGGTTTTAATAAGCTGCTGCAGTTGCTGTCCGACGGTGGGCGTCTTCAGGTGCCTACATTGACACAGGTAGCTGAAGTAGGAAAGTGACACTGGTGAATCTGGGCCGTCGTTTTATTGCATCACTTTAAACCTCTTTTCGCTCTTGTTTAGTGAATGTTGTGCGTCTGATGATTTTACTTGTACCTTTTCTTTTGACTGCAACATGCGTTCCCCCATGGTGTTAGGGCCAAGTCAGAGTCACCGAAGGAGTCCATTTCAAATCCAAGTCATTGCAGATAAATAAATGAAGCATCCTCAGTGTTTAAAGTCAGACTTTGTTTTAAATAAAAATAATATTAATAATCATTTGAGTCCAACTTAAGTGTCGACTTTCTTGGTATAGAGTCTTAGGTGGAGTGATGCTTGACCTTTTTTTATTTTTTACAAAAACTCTAATTGTTATCCCAACACAAATACTTGGCATGTGTTGTCAATAATGGTAATAATTTTTGATTAAGGTTATGTCAAAACACACCTATGTCAAATTAAAAAGAACATGGCTGACTGGAAGAAGGAATGTTGTGTGTATAATACACATATAAATACCACCAACTGCCAAAAATCCTGTGTTCTAGCACCTGTCTTTCTCTTCCAGCACCAGGATACAGGATAGTTCAGGAATGTGGGAGGGGCTAAAGCATCAAGTTTGAATTTTCTTTCACCTTTTTGTCTTGATAGGAGTTGGTAGTTCATCAGCATCAGTACATTTACAACTTTTTCCATCAGTGTGTGTCTGCATTTGTGTGTAAGTCCACCTGAACACAAACAAAACTGTTCGGTCGCTTCAAACAAACCGGCTGCATGTTTCCAATTCGGTGATGCCGTCGTAAGAATTATCCGAGATTTTGTAAGTGTGTGTGTGTGTGTGTGTGCGTGTTTCGTGTGTGGGGGCTGGGGTAAATACAGAGGGCTTGATAATTATGGGTTGAATGAGTGCTCTCAGTCAGCCTCCCTGAGTGTGTGTAAAAAAAGGAAGGCACAGCGAAAGCCACTTCAAGGCCGACTAATTACCCCGAGGAAGAGAGGAAACATAAATGGACGATTTTGCGGCTCTAACTTTACAGAAAAATGGCTACGACGACCTCAGCACGTGAACTGGAGCCGCAGCTTCTTTTGAAGGCAGCAAGCGGCCCTGCGCAGATGTGTGCGCGTTTGTGTCCATATGTGTAGGATCTGTGAAGCAGAGAAGGTGTGTGTGTGTGTGTGTGTGTTTTGTGTGCACCGAATCACGCTGGTGTAAATTCTTTTCATGAATAATATTCATACCTCCTCCCAATGTGTTTCGCCGGACACAGATGTCACACAGCTGCACGTAATCACCAATTACTTCATTCATAAATAAAAGTAAAAAAAAAAAAAAAACCTTCTTAGATATTCCCAGGTTTCTCAGTAGAATTACATTTTTGTTTTGACTCGGACATTTTTGCAGGCATCAGCAGATTTCTAAATGTCACGCACTGTAACCTTTATCCACCTGCTCATTTATGTTGCTGCTTTGCTCAGGTTTGGGATTTTCCCAGCCAAATGTCAGGGCTATGGATAAGTGTTGAATTACATTTAGTCTTTTTCTTCGAACGGATTATAATGCTGTCATTTGGATGGATCTCCTGTAGCCCATGTTATGGCAACAGGCGGGGGAGGAGGGAGGCCATGTTTACTCTCAGTGTTCAGACATTACCTAATATTGTCTATTGTGTATAAATAGGAATGTATTTTATATATTTATATAAATATATCCACCATTTATAAATCTCAAATAATAATAATGTCAGAAAAAAATGTGATTTTTGTACGTGTATTTCATTTTTTTTGAATGTCCGAACCCCAATTCAACAAATATATTTGGTGAGCCCTGGTGTAGGCTCAGAGACTTTTGAAACTACCATAAGAAAAGCTGGTTATTATAGAAAAATCTGACATGATTTTTTTTACCTGTAATGTCATTAACCTTGAATGTAACATAACATCTTCATCATCTCAAGCTCATCGTCAGACAGGGTTCCTAAGGTCAGGCTACACTCCCAGTACCCTCCGCCGGTTCTCGCCGTAGCAAATTTCGTCTTGGTCGTCAAATTTGAACTTTTACCCCGCCGTTCGAGCTGACGTTTAAATTTCTGATAAAAAGTGACAGCCCTTCTTTTCGCTCACCACTGTTCTGCGGTATGCGGTGTGTCAATATGTATCCTATAAATATAATGATCTTCGGCCCATATTGCCAAACTCTATGGTCTCTTTGATTTTCGACTTTCGCTCAAAGTGAATCCAGAAAACCTCATCTAAACCCCGCTGCCTCCTCAGCTCCGCTCACCCGCTGCGTTCTCTCCTCCACACCTCCTCTTATCCAGCCCCCCCCCCCTCCTTCCCCCTCGTCCGTCCTTCTGCAGCCCCATACAGAGAAATTGCATTTTGTTTTCATGTGTCGTAACATTAAAAGCGCTTAAGCAGTTTGATCTCGGCGCCACATGAGATCAGCATACACATGAGAGAGAGAGAGTGCGTTTGGTCAGTGAGAGAGTTTAAGATGTTGATGGATGGGGAAGATGGTTGGGCTGTGTGTGTGTGTGTGTGTGTGTGTGTGTACGTATATGTGTAAAAATGATAAGGTATTCACTTTGTAACTCAGCAGGAGGCCAAGGAAGTAGCAGCAGATCTGCCTCTCTGTAGTGCTGATGCTACACACACACACGCACGAACGTTCACCAGTTTGTCTAGCTTGGTGCACAACAAAAAAAATAAAATTATATAATATTTTGCCAGAATTATTCATATGTACGAAAAGCAGCTTCACACAAGTTCAAAGACCCAAAAGCACAAACACACGCCGGCGCAGAGTTGACCAAATATACAATCCAATGGATTCACACCATAATAATATTTTTAGAAAATACTCACAATCACTGTGCTGAATGAACACACAAAAACAATGGCTTCTATATTGCAATCTGCATTTAGCATGCTGTTAGCATTAGCGAGCAACACGTGTCATGTCGTAACTAAGCTCTAAAAAAAAAAATGTCTTCATGCCCCAATTTCATCCTCCGCAGAGTTCATTCATGATATAGCCACCGTGTGCCGGTTTTATTTGAACTAAATGTGTGCCGTCGTGTGTCTTCAACAGTCCAACAAAGTGTCGGTGGTGCAGCAGTCTCACGGGATGCACTCTCTCACCTCCCTGCTGCCCTACGGCAACGACCACTTCAGTGCCAGCCCTCCGCACCTGCCCACAGACATGAGTCAGAAAACAGGTGAGGTCTCACACAAAAACACACACACAACATGTTTGTAAGCGCCACAGAGCGGTACTGTAGCTACTGGGGGGGGGTGGGGGGTCAGACCATGGTAGTGAGGTTAATAACATTCAGATTATTACCAGAGTAAAAAAAACAATGCAGTGACAGTATAACTGGCTGCTGATTTTATTGCTTTTTGAACAGAAAAGTAGAGTGAAATCATTTTGGTGCAACTCGAAGATGTTCGGTAATGCATTTCAAAGGCATTTTTTTTTATGTTTCTGACAGAGAAAACCAAACCAGATGTGGACAAACTGATTGATTCTGATCTGATTTTAGCCATATTTTGGATTATTTCACAGCAGCACTTTTCCATCTTTAAACTTCGTCGCCTTCCCTTCACAGTAGTCATCATCACGATTTACGTTACCTCACCTTCAAATTGTTTTTAGTTGCACACACCTCTGATTGCACCGTAACCAGTTTACGACCATATTATTAGCTATCTGATCCAGGACTGAGTACCATCTAACCAATCAGCAGCTTATTTAAGTCCGAGACTAAGTCGGGGCTTTTGTAGACCTAGGTCAAGTCTACGGAGACAAGGAGACAAACAAGCACCAGGTCTAGAACGCTGCTGGCTCTGTTTGCGCTGTGGAACATAAACACGCACAAATTTCCACACAGCGAAGGCTCAGTTGAACAAAAGCAAAATATATTCATATTGTTTTCTCTTTCTGTCTGTTTCTAATCCATGACCCCTTTCACACACACACACACACACACACACGCCCAGCACCGGCTCCGTCAGCCTGTGGCAGTTCCACGGCTTCTCTGATGTGGCCTGCTCCCCCGAAGGGGCGGCCCGCGACACACACACCCGGGAACAATTAGCGTGACAATCACACAAGCCATCACAGCACCACACACACACACACACACACACACACACACGCCCAGCACCGGCTCCGTCAGCCTGTGGCAGTTCCACGGCTTCTCTGATGGGGCCTGCCCCTCTGAAGGGACGGCCAGCGACACACACAACAGGAAAAAATTGGCGTGACAACCACACAAGCCATCACAGCACCACACACACACACACACACACACACACGCCCAGCACCGGCTCCGTCAGCCTGTGGCAGTTCCACGGCTTCTCTGATGGGGCCTGCCCCTCTGAAGGGACGGCCAGCGACACACACACCAGGAAACAATTATCGGGACAACCACAAAAGCCATCACAGCACCACACACACACACACACACACACACACACACGCCCAGCACCGGCTCCGTCAGCCTGTGGCAGTTCCACGGCTTCTCTGATGTGGCCTGCTCCCCCGAAGGGGCGGCCCGCGACACACACACCCGGGAACAATTAGCGTGACAATCACACAAGCCATCACAGCACCACACACACACACACACACACACACACGCCCAGCACCGGCTCCGTCAGCCTGTGGCAGTTCCACGGCTTCTCTGATGTGGCCTGCTCCTCTGAAGGGACGGCCAGCGACACACACACCAGAAAAAAATTAGCGTGACAAACACACAAGCCATCACAGCACCACACACACACACACACACACACACACGCCTAGCACCGGCTCCGTCAGCCTGTGGCAGTTCCACGGCTTCTCTGATGTGGCCTGCTCCTCTGAAGGGACGGCCAGCGACACACACACCAGGAAACAATTAGCGTGACAATCACACAAGCCATCACAGCACCACACACACACACACACACACACACACAAGGTTCTCCTTAGCAAACACGGTACATACGAAAACACACAGAGAAAGAAAAAACAAACCCAGGCTGATGTTCAAACCCTGCAGGATGTTTTTCCCGTCAGAGGTGGTGGCAGTGTCTGTCTGGTTGTCTCAGATTTGTTCAGTGCATTCTTGATGCTCGTGTCACAAGCCATAATCAGTGGCAGGATCCCGACATCTGACCAGCAGCTTGTCTGAAAACCTCGCACTCCGTATATGATTCCATATATTTCCCGGATGGGATTTTTCTTATCACGTTTTCTTGCTTTTTTTTTTTTCAAAGATATGACTTGTTGTGTCAAGAAATCCCGTAGACACTTTCACGATACATACTTCTTTTAAGTTACTAAATAACACTTTGTTAATGAGACAGTGATTATGGAACGAGTAAACCCCGAGATGAGATCTGGAGGGAAAAAAAAGGCAACCAAGCAAGACTGAGGCGGAACAAGAACAAAAGTCTCTCCTCAGTTATGATTAGACATTTGGCTCTAACCTCAGGCAATCTCCTGCCTGCTCTGTCTGGAAATCACCCTTTTACTACAGACACAAACTCTTTGTCTGGTCCACACACTCCTCTGCGGGGGCGTGTGTGTGTGTGCGCGTGTGTCCATGCCCGACGGTATCTGTGACTCAGCCATTAATGACAGACTAAGCCACCTGCTTCTAGCAAACACACGCACGGCCGGGCCTTTCAAACACATGCACACCGTCAACACCTGGCTCGTGGACACGACTGTTCTCACCTGAAGACCGACCACGTTTCGCACGCGCCGCCTTGTCTCGCTCCTCACGTCTTTCATCAGCTGTTTACAGGTAGCGGTACAGTAAAAGGTTACCTAATCAGTGATGTCATTTTCTGGCACCGCGCTCTGCTCGTCTGTCTTCAGAAAGAGCATCGGCCAAATACGGAAAGGTGAGCTTAGCGTAGCGAACGACAGCAAGACACTGCAGTGGATTTAGGTGGTGCTGTAGGACCGAGTTGGAGCTCTTCTTATTTGGATCTCCTAACCACACCGCTCAGTGGATCGTTTCGGCAATTTGCCTTACAGTCAGCCCGTCGAGGGTTCAATTTCCAGTTGGGTTAAGAGCTCAAATGTCATGTGGTTCCAGCTCCTTCAAAAAAAACCTCTGCATATTAGACCTGGAGGGTGCGTCCGTGCCCAACAGTGGGGTCACTGCACCACACCCGACCACGCTTGTCCCCTAAAGTCTGGATTCTACGGCTAGTGTGAGTGCAGCTCGGCTGGTTCCAGTGAACCGCTGGACCGTGAAAGACGAGCTTCGGTAACACAAAACTAACAGGTTCACTTTCAGCTTTTATTTGTTTGTGGTTCAAAACACTTTCTCAAACTGAGCAATCACTACCAGAAGGAAAGAATCGGCTTCCTGTTTTTAACAGTATGTGCTACTCAAACACTCATTCTGAGGGTTGGTGTTAGTTTGGATACACTTGGCTTCTGAAACAGTCCTAAAATACTCATTTGGTTACAGTTCACCTGGAAAAAAAACAGCATCCAAAATAATTCAGATTAGTTTTTTAGTGTTTTTTTTGTTCTAATTTGTCAGACTTATGTCTGTGAATCTATTGCGTCCTCAATCTTCTGTCAGTGGTGTGATTTAATAACAGTAGTATGCCATTTGCTGCGTGTTGAGCTCATCACTCTCACTTCAATTTCATTTGCACACTTGACTTCCTTTGGTATTTTCACTGCACCCACACTGTTCTCCTCTCATATGAACATGTCCTTGTAGACCTTGCGGTGTCTTTGGCGTTAAAACGTTACGACAAGGATCCCGTTTATGGCGTGATAAGAAAACCAATGTAACATAAATGACAACGTGTGTCAGAATAAATAAATACTGTAAACGCGTTCACATACCATTAACAGTATTTCACAAAAAGTATTCACTCTCATGGTCGTACCCTCCGTCGGCCATTACGCCACGCTCAACCGGTGACATCACTGTGACCGTTGTGCAGAGATGACTGCAGGTCAGTACAGCCCGGCATTCAAAGCAGAAGTGAAACACGTCTGCTCTCCGTCACGCAGCTTTCTGTACTAACAACAACAACTAAACTAACTTTATCGTCATTTTTCTAGGCTCATATTACGCTGTCCATTCATAACAGCAACCATCGCATTATTATCATAAAATATTATATGTATATTATATATATATAATCATATCTTCAATTCCAAACATATACATTAACAAAATGCTGTGTATCATTCATATCTTCAATTCTGAACATATACATTAACAAAATGCTGTGTAATCATATCCTATGAACTTAATACTACTTATAATTTGTTGATTAACAGATGATAAAAATTAGTAAGTAAATCATTTGAAGAATGGTCTTTGAGCTAGAAAGTCACATCACAGTGTTCGATAAAAGTCTTTAAAGCCACGACTTTGCCAAACACACAAATCAGCACCAGGCTTCTTTTTTTTTTGCCCAGGATTTATTGATATTGACTTTTGATTTTGTTTACTTCATATAAATCCAAATTATAATGGACGGGTGAACATTCTAAAGGACTGAGGGAAAACAAAGTAAACAGCTTTTCACACTTAAATAAAAGCAACAGTCATTAATTGAGTAATTGAGTATAATACTTTTTGGTTCCAATTGAAAGGAATATTTAAAATTTTGAAAAAAAATACCTTAATTTACATGTTTTGAAATAATAATGAGAGTGAGAGTGAGTCACTGCCCATACTCCCGTGAGAAACTCTGCGCTGAAAATGAAATTAAGAGTCGACATTAGTCATGGCTTTCATGAGGTTCACTGATGGAGTGACTTTTAGTTTTACTGTGAGTTTTGAGCCTGTACTTGAGTAAAATCTCCACTCCTTACTGCACAACTTCAGGTCTGAGCTGAGGCTCTTTGTCGAGTGCACCACACGCTTTGGCTGTCAGGTCTCTTTTAAAGGTTCAGATTCTGCAGCACTTTCACTCTTAGTGGTTATAACCACCGGTGCACATCGTCAGTGCACGAATGCTATTTTCAGCTCCTCCACTCGGTTTTTACATGCACACCTTCTGATGGCAGCCTCACACTGAGCCAATGTGACTCAAATGGTTTCCCCTTTGAAGTGTTTCCCGAGACGCTAACGCGGAGACGGTGAGATGGCTGCTGTACTTAGTCAGTTATTAGACGGCTTCTTTAAAAGGGGCATTCCAAAGAAAACAGTCCCATTACGGCGGTTGATTTCCCCCTTCATGTTTCCCAACAGCAGTCAGTGCTGACTGTGTCAGAGCCCGGGCAACAGTGTGACTTATGGAGTTGTATCGCGTTTCCGTCGACGCTACAGGGTGACAAACAGTGTATAGCATAGAGGCTGTGTAAACAACAGGTGTTACAGTAATCACCGGTTGCGAAGGTTTTGATCGAATTACCATTCAAGTAAAAACACACTAATAAAGTGGCGTGGTATTCCCCATTCTGACTTCCACTCACAGGCTTATTATAAGCAGATTTTAAATGACTTATCCATTGCTCATCTGTGGTGATGAATTTATGTTAACCAAATGTTGCTTCTGGGAAAGTTATAATTTGTCATTTTGTCAAGTCGAAAGGTTTTAAGACCTCATTTCAAAAGGTGTCTACATTTAAATTTATATTATTATTATTATTATTATTATAAATCCTCAATCAATCAGAGCAAACATGAAACTTTCAACCAAACTGTGTTAAACGTTTACAGTCAAAGGATTTCATTTACTTCTCCCAAAACTGTAAGAACAGAAAAAAATTCAATGTCAGCTCTAAAGAAAAAGAAAAAGAAAAAAAAAACAAGTTGTGACATGATCACTTGAAGAAATGTGTCGACGGAGAGGGGCGATATGTTGTAAAAATATTCAAACAGATGATAATGTAACCGAAGACGAAACATGAGAAGAAATTCTAACAAATAACATCGAATAGATTTTTATATTTGTTAGCAGCGATGTAAGTTTCGGTTTCATCCTGTGTGCGTAAGCTGTGCTTTTTAACAAAGACCCTAACCCAAGTGCACCACGAGAGCGGTAGTTAAAGGTTACCTGGGAGCTTTTACCTTTGACCTCGACCCGGTCAGTCGTTCATCAAAACCATGCAGTGTCTCGTGGTACAACATTGTTTGTTGGGAAAATAAAGGTCTCCTCCCACTTGGTGGCTCCTATTGATTTGCCAAATATATTCTTTGCCAAATGACGCAGCTCTGTGCTTCAAAACAAATGAGTCATGATCAAAACTTTCTGACCAAAAAAAAAAAACGTGTTTACAATAAGAGGAAGCTTTTATTCTTTTATTCCCCGTTAAGCTCTGTCCATATGTTGACTGCCTGATTTGAGTGCTGCTGAGAAAAAGTACGTGACATTACAGTCACACATGCAAACCTGGGATGGGGAGTTTTACAAACAAAACAAAAATTACTGCAGGGTTCAAATGTCACTTGAGTTTTTTTTTCTTCATAATTGCTTAAGCTCATCATCTTGATTTTATCTTTGGAGGAAAAGCCTCGTGCTGCTTTTGTTTGTTTATTCAACTTGTTGGTGAAAAACTCCCATATAAACTAAAACTCCCAACTAAAACTTATGAATGTAAGTTTTAGTTCAAGAAGTACGAAAAACTCCCATATTTTTTGTGTCACTTTATGAACAGGGAGGAATGAATGTAAGTTTTAGTTCAAGAAGTAAATAATGTGAGTTGGACAGAGAGTTCACGTGATGATGCACCGAGAACGAAGTCGAGAGTCGAGAGTTCTAAATATTAACCGTGGAGCTCAGTCAGCTTCCTCTGCTACTTTGTAACCTTTGAGTCGTGGAATCGCAGGCGTCGTGTCATCAACAAAGGTTTAGTCGTAGAGGAAGATGTCTTTAGTTGAGTTGGACATGAACCAGGTAACATAAGGAAGAGTTTCCCGGCTGTAACACGCAGGGATTGAGACGTTAAGATCCACCGCTGTTACAGACGTCACCGTCATGGAGACAATGATGGCGAGGTCTGTAATAAAGAAATGAGCACAGCTCAGTTGGGTGTAGATGACGGAGGGTAAAGACAGGTTAAAGGTGACAATTAGGGCAAACATCAGTTCGGTGAGGGGTGGAGAGCAGTAAGGAAGGAAAGGGGAAGCAGAGGGGAGGAGGGGGAAGGGGGAGGTGTGGTGGTACCGGGTGAAGAGGAGGAGGAAGGAGCGGAGCGGTGAGATAGGTGCGCTGACTCACTTGCATTCTTGCTGTCCAGATTTATAGCGACTCGGGGTCCTGAAACAGGCCTGGAGCCAGGGCCAAATTACAGTCATCCACAGCATTCCTCTGCTGCAAACACAGGTTAGCAGTCGGGCCTCGCTAAGTGCTAGGTGCTGCCTGTTGACAAATGACTTCCTTTGAAGGGCACAAAGAGGGAGACTGTATATTTACTGCGTGAGGGCACAGAGTCGAACTGTCTGTGTTTCTTTTGTTCAATAACATTTTTTTTTTTTTTTTTTTGGCCCAGGGTGGAGATGAAGACTGTTTGTTTGCGAGTGTGTTTCAATCGGTGACTGCCCCCCCTACCCACTGCCCCAAACGGGCTGCTCATGTTTTTAAAAATGTGGTTCTGACCAAAGCCTTCAACTCCTGTGGAATAAACCAAGTGGAGACCTAGGCCTCCAGCACTGGGTCTCATCCACTTTAACACAGAGTATGACACGCAGGGGGCACAGGGTGGGAGTGGGAGTGGGAGTGGGTGACCTGTGTAAAGGGGCAGTTTGGTGTTTAATACCAGGTTCCCAGACAACTAATAATCCTAATAGATGAGTGGACTCGGGGCCAGAGGCTGTTGACCTGACCTTGTGTGTCTGTGTTTCTGTCTCCTCCAGGCGTTCACAGGCACCAATCCCAGGACCTCTCATACTACTCCCTTCCTCCAGGTGGTGTTGGTCAGATAACTCCCTCCATGGGCTGGTGAGTCTCTCTCTCCCACTCACACACAGCTGTGCAGGCTTTGACTCGCACATTTTTCCGTGGTCTTAATGGCCACCCACTAACTCACATTTAAGTTCTGATATAATTGTGATATAAGAAAAGTACGAGTCGTTCGCAAAAAATTCCTCTGCGGTGGGATTCTTTGTAGTCTGCGGTTCAATTTCTCTTGCCTTTGGAAATGCCGTAATACTCTGTATATCAGGTATATGCAGTATTACTACCCTTAAATATACACTTGTCAAATCAGCGACTGAGTCTTGTTCCAGAATAGTCTAAAGACATCTTAGTCCAACGCTCATCATCATTTCACAGTGTTACATCACAACACACGCTCGTCGTGGCACTGTGAACCGGCTCAGTGATGCATACATCACCGTCTCACCTGATGAGTGTCTAAACCAGACCCTGCTGTCAGGAATCCCCTTTGAACCTTTGTGTTTTGAACTTAAAGGGATAATCCTTTTTTTTTTGCAGGGGGGCGGGGTGGGAGTAGTAGCCTTTTGTGTGGGACCTGCAGCCTGAGAGAAAGAAAAAGCAGTAGTGAATAAAGTTGGGGGGCGAGGCCCCTTAAAGGGACAGAAAGCTGCAAAAAAAGGTCTGAGATTTTATTTAGTAGTGCTTTGTTTTTGAGGGGTGAGACAACTAAGACAGATTGTGGTGTGGTGACTATAAAGGAGTACATTTACTGCTGAACTGAAGGAGGAGAAATAGATGTTTGGTACAACACTGATTTTAAGGAGAAAGCAAAAAGCTCAAAAACACTTGTATGACACGAGACGTTGATCCACTGTATGGTCAACCGAAAATTCTTGCACCTACAGAGCGCACAAAATGACCTTTTGCACACAAACAGATTACGCCTGACCGAGGCAGACCTGAAGTGACCCTCATCCACGAGTGGGGGTTTCACATCCAGGAGTCCAAGATCATAAATGCACAGCCTGCCGCAGTAGCCAGTTACTCTACCGGTGATGTAAGGTGTCACGGTTTATCCCAAACTCGTCCCAGCTGTGTGTTTGCTATAATATTTTTATGCGATTTGCCGATTAAAACAGACTTTAACGATGTCAGGGTGATGTCATGGTACTCCTGCTCTACAGTCCTTAAATTCACACATGGCTCTGTGGAGCCGAAGCCTGTTTGATCTGTTTTTAAGTAAGCGTTCGACGGTGAACCCCTTTTGCCCCAGAATGGCTCAGAGGCTGAGAAATATTTTGGTTATCCTCCCGTGAACTGAATGAAAAATGTGTCTCCTAACGAGAGTTAGACTTTGTACCGCGCCGACCTGCCGGTGACACGTGCAGTGTGTTTTTGACCGTAGTTTCTATGAATGCTGGGAACAGACAGATGTCGGCAGGCGTGGATGCCAGTGTCTTGTGGATCTTATTCAACTGTTGTAAAAAAAAATCATCTGAGGGAGGAAGAAAAAAAATGTCTAAGTCGTCTCCAAAGTAAGTTTATGGCTTTCAGTATATTGTTGTGTTAACTGCTGACATATTATTACACAGTCGGCGTTTTATTTATACTACTGTGTCTATCATTGTTGTATACTTGGCATGGCTTGGGAAGGCTGTATAAAAACTCATTGTCTCATTCTATCATAGTTATCATTCCGAAAGGAAGACTTATTGTAGCCCACAGCGCAGCAATATCTTTATACTAGACTCTTGACTGTAGTTGTAGCTCAGTAAAAAAAAAGCTGAAGGAAGTCTCCGCTTTCGCCCTGAACCTTAAAATTGAAAAAAAAAACACCTGACCTGTTCCTGAAAATGATTAAACCCTGAACCTTAAATTTGAAAAAAAAAAAACCACCTGACCTGTTCCTGAAAATGATTAAATAAAAGAAACAGAAATTACCTCATGTTGGAGAAACTGGCGAGTTCCACTGATATAATCATTCTGGTCGCGCTCACTGTAATATCTCCACATCTTAACTTGTAAATTGCTGTGTCCCTCATGATGTGGTGCGTTCTGGAAACACTGACAGGCCCCAGGTTAGATTCGGGCTTTCCCCAAACCTCCAGAACTATATATTAAGATGTGTGTGTTTTTTGGTTTCTACCCGCTGAGATATGTTTTGGTTTATCGCATCAAAACGGCCCTTAAACTGTCTGCCGTTTTTTTTTTTACGATGATTTCACGAGGACAGATCGGCAGCGGTGATGCTGCAGGAAAAAAGTGCAAAACTGCAGTATAAAGTGGCCAACATCTGCTCCACATTCAGTCCTTTCATTTATGGTTTTCATCATTTCTGGCTCGATCTTGCGAGCTCCCAGTGTCGGGCAGGGTGACTGTGAAGCTCTAATGTCGGACTTCCTCTGATTTATGGATCAACACAAATCCACTTATTACAACCTACACTATCTGTAGCCTGGACTGAATCCCCTTCCGGGTGCAGTTAAAGGCTTAGACCAAATGGCACAGAGATTTGGAAGGAAGGCTCCAAACTTCTGCATGTGCATTAGCTTTCTTCAGCGTCACTGGACGATGTTCACTTTCATTCTTGGAATTAGCAGCATTTTATCGTTTCACACAAGTAAAATGTCACTGGATTTCCGCACGAACGGCTAATCTCCTCTAAACCAGAGGATCCGTTTGTTCTGGACGCTTGTTTTCGTTTGTTTTCGGAAAAATGCAGAAAATGTCAAAGTGTTGTTTCAACAATAAGCCTGGGTTTACATTTTTACCGTCCCCCTCTGTCTGCTGTCCTTTTGTCCCTTCGGCATGTCAGCTGCATGACTTGTCGTCTCAGACAAGGGATGACAATGGAGATGATGCCATGATCGGAATTAGCAGTCGGTTAAAGATGTTTGGCAGTGAAAGAGATCCTTAGAGGGGTTTACCATCCTGCTTTTGGATATCGCGGAGACAAACACTAAGATTTTTCCTCTGAGCTTTTCACTCTGTCTCTACAAACACTTGAAATTTCCCTCAATATTCCTTAAAATATAGAAAATGATTTCCGAAATTAAAGGCTAATTTTGGAGTGATTTAAAAAAAAAAAAAAACCTCATAATCGGTTTATTAACAGTCACATCTAAGTTGCTGGTTTCCTAAAATGTCATTTGAAAGAAGCAAATTTTAGGTACCGTCAACATGTTCGACAGTAAATCCTTAAAACATTTGTTGGGCATTTTTGTAGCCACAATAAATCGTTGTCTATTTGTCGTTGAAATGAACATGAAAGCAACCAGAACACCCAAGAGAGTGATTTCTGTTTTGTCAATAAAACGGTATCTGCAGAGATGAGGGATGATGCTGGAGTCTCTGACCAGTCCAATAGAGCGAGCAGCCTCACTCTCATGACATTCCCAGCATTCCTCCGTGCAGCCGTGCTTGCACGTGGGAGCTTTTTCTGCAAAATGTCACCACTAACCCTCACAGTGTCTTGGCCGATGATGATAAGCATTTTCTCCTTGTCGGCGAACTGACAAAACTATATCGGGCTGATTGATGGCCTTTTGTCGTGGAGTGTTCAACTTCCTGGCCAGATCAGAATCGGAGCTGTCTTTATCTGAGCAACACTTGACCTGTGCTGTAGCGTGAGCTCTGTTAGAACAGGATTACAGCGCGAACGATGCTCCGCGAGCTCATAATTCCTGTGATTCTCAGTCCAGCCGTGAGCTGAAGAATCGCTGCAGTTTGCAAAAACCACCATCAGTTTTGTCTAGAAATGAAAAAAGAAGAAAATAGAAGGAATTGTGTAGGGATTTTTCAAATGCTAAGATGTGGTTTGGGTTGTGTGTGTGTGCATCATCGGGATGAAGGGAGGATGGTTTCACGCACTGTCGGGGAGGTGGAAGGGTGGTTTTCTACATATCAAAGGGACTTTACTTACATCCCATCTCCACCCTCGACCCCCCATGGTGTGTGTGTGTTCTGCTGCTCCTGGTAGAGCCGAGTATTGACGAACAGCTGTCAGCAGTTGCGTATCCACAGTCTCACAGAAGGATCACGGAACATTTCAAACATTTTTTAAAAGCGCGGACGTGAACTTCGTAAAAGAGTTCAAAAACATTTGCAAGCTCTCGGGGTTTGTTTATGTTTTGTTTAGTTTTTTTTTGCACACAAAAAAACAGGAACGAGTGGCCAAAGGTTGCCAGAATTTTTTTTTAAAAAAACAGCAGATTTCCTATGACTCTAAAAGATTTTTATGATTTCCTTGTTATGATTCACTTTAGAAATGCTGCCTTCGGGGAATCGATTACTAATCAGAATAATCTGTCAGGCTTTAGGAGGGGTCGATCGCTGATTTGTTGTCTGTAGGGTGGTGTTATTGATATCTGATGTCAATGCCCAGGCCTTAAAAACTTTTTTTTTCCAGACACAGAGCAGTGAATCATCAAGTTCACTAATTGTGTCATATCACTGGCCCGTTTAATAAAAACACTGAGTTTCCAGTAACAACTGTGGTGGAATGAATAAACCAACAATTAAATCTGTAAAAGCTGAAAAGCACCAACTGTTGCTGTCTCTCCCCTCTGCTGTGGTGTGGTGTGGCAGGCAGAGCCAGCCAGTCTATCCCGCCCTCTCCCCCTGCGGATTCAGACAAACCTCCTACTCCAACCTCACCAGCGCCTCCCCGTACAGGTATCGTAACCGGCTGGTTGGACCGAGCAAAGAGAGGAAGAAGTAAAAGAAAGACGACAAAATGACGCTGTGGCTGCCTCGTCTGCTCCTGTTTACAGCACACGAGATAAAGGCCATGGTCGACGGACATGTTGACATGCTGCGCCATTCCGGTTTCAATTGGACACTCGATGTAAAAGTCCTAATGAAGACTCTGTGCTGTAAACAGGAGGAGCTCAGTGATTTTTTTTTTTTTTTGCTTTAGCTTTTCTCCGCTAGACAAAACAAAAGTAAAACTCCATCTGGGTTTGAAGTGCTCAAATGTTTTCCTGTTTATGCTCTTTTCATAACCTTGTTTCTTCTACAAACAAAGAGTCCCAAGTGCTGCAGTTCACAAAGGACCGATGCTCTGTTGCTCCTGTAGCTTTGCCTTCTCTCTACCCACTTCTCGGCAGGTTTTCCAACACTGACATGCGGGGAGACCAATGTTTTACCTGTGTCTCCCTCCGTGGCTGAAGTGTTCGAACCCCTGGATATGAGAACACTCAATTAAACATTCAGCACAGTGCGAGAGGATCTGGGGGAAGAACTCCGTCTCCAAATAACTCACAGAACAAAACTATGTCGCCCTCTAGTGTTGACAATATTTTTTAAGAATACTTGCATTTAATGCTTATCGGGTTTTTTTTTAACTCAGGCTTTGTTCAGTGAGACTCAAGTGAAATGCTGATTATAATTTTAATATATGATTTTTTTAAAGAATAAATATAAATATATGGACAGAACACAGTAGGCTTCTTTTTTTCAGCTTCAAGGGCCTAATGCTTTTGTCATCTGTCGCTCGCCGTGGCTCATTTTTTCACACATTTTTCCAGAATGGCTTCAACTCTGTGGTTAATCATGTCTCTGGTGATGTTCTTTCCGCAGGTTTCCTCATTCTCTGATGCTGGGCCCTTCAACCATGCATGCTACAGGGATCCCTCACCCCGCGATAGTGCCCCCCTCAGGCAAACAGGAGCATGACCAGTACGACCGGGGCATGTATGTGTAAGTACTGGCCGTGCTCTTCCCAACATCTGACATTAATGGGACACAGGAGCCTAGTTATTAATTTAATGATTAAAATAACCGTAGTGATAATAAAACTGTTGCAGTGTCGAGAGTAAAATCCGATCAACACATGTTTGGAAGTGGTTAACATGTGCGCACCACACAAATTGTCAAACCAATGACGGGGGGGGGGTTGTACACGAATTGTCAAACCAATGACGGGGGGGGGGGGGATTTTCACACTGCAATGACCCCATAACCTCACTTTTTAGGAAGCCACAGGTGGAGCCCAAGCGGGAGAAGGAGCCCAAGAAGCCAGTCATCAAGAAACCACTGAACGCCTTCATGCTTTACATGAAGGAGATGAGGGCAAAGGTCATCGCTGAGTGCACGTTAAAGGAGAGCGCCGCCATCAACCAGATTCTGGGGAGACGGGTGAGAAGTGAATGATTTTATCCATGAACATCATGAGAAAACTTTGTTAAACAGAATCCTTATTCCTTCTCATACTGGTGCTGCTGACATTATACACAACCGACTGTCGCTGCCACTGATCCTGATGCTGTTTCTCGTGCAACATTTACATTTTATTTGCTTTATTTAAATATTAGGGTAGAGTAGAGAATCATTTTGGATTTGAATTAGAGTGAGCAAGAAGACAACTGTGCCTCACCAGTTGTTCCCAAAGTAGGGGGCAGGGCCCTAAAAGGGACAGAGATCTGTTGCACGGGGGTCACAGCAATGCATTATAATTCTCGTTCAATATTTTATTCTTATTTTCTGTGTTTTTTCTTAGCAGTTATAGTGATTTACATCTCATTATGTCCTCATTTTAGGAGATTGACAGAGTTAGAGAGACATATTTAGATTTTCTCACGCTCTGTTTGTGTCTCGGTGTTTGTGTCCAGTGGCATGCACTGACCAGGGAGGAACAAGCCAAGTACTACGAGTTGGCCAGGAAAGAGAGACAACTGCACATGCAGCTCTACCCCACCTGGTCTGCCAGAGACAACTACGTAAGAAACTTCTCCTTTTGATTCTGCTCTTCTTTCCGACTGACTCACCGATATTTCTTTGGAACTTCTTTGAAAAAAAAAAATTCAGTCACCACTTTTATTGATCTTGTTCACACTAAAGAAAGTACATTTAGAAATGAAATCAGAAATATTAAATTTTTTTCCATAGTAAAAAACAAAGTGTGACAATAAGTGCTCAATAAAAATCATGTTTTTCTGCCCAAGCAGAAGACACGTTAGTGAAGTTAAAGAGTATTTATGTGTCTTTTAAAATAATCTGCCATAGTTTTTAAAACATATATATTTTATATAATTATTGAGTATGTTGTATGTGGTGCATTTATTATTATAAAAGGGTACAAACCATTTTGTTATTCACACTCACTCACCGTATGCAGTATTTTGGCTTTAAAATCCTTATGTTCAGTAAACTCAGTTGTGTATTTTATTTTTGGCTAATGCTCTAACACTTTTCATACCGTGGTCACAAATGACACAGGTGCAACCCCCAGCAGTTGTGTTTATTTTATTTTTTTTAAAAAGGGCCTGTAATCTCTGTATTCTGTTTGTTTTTATCAAGATTTCTGAAAGCTAAAATAAACTGACAACATTCCAGTTTTGAATTATGCTGGTGTCATAGTTCAACACAAACACGGGTCTCCCCGGCAGTTAAAAACAAAAACTCAAAAAAAAAAAACCCACTTTAATGGAACACATTGTAAAAGATAAACAGCTGTAATCCTAAGTGTCTGGTGCATGTGAGTACAATGTTGTAGGGATGTGCTGTGTCTGGGCTGCTGTGTGCCTCTCATTTGTCAGTTTGCTGTTGAACTCTTGCAGGAGGCGGGCCTTAGCGGGGTCGAGGGGCAAAAGAGTAAAGACGATTGGGTAGGGACACGTCTTACGGTGGATTTATGCCTCTGTGGTGTAAAAAAGGAATAAAAAGAAAGAAAAAAGCAAAAAAAAAAAATGGCTGCATGGAATAAGGTTGTGGGTACTTGTCGTGCATGCAGCTTCCTAAAGTCTCACACAACACTAGCTGTTGGGTCATGAATGCTGTATGGTTGGTCTGTGAGTGAGTCACACAGAGGTATAAATCTGCCCAATTTGCTGCACTAACAGAGAACAGGGCTGCATGGCTGGCCTCACCGCCTCCCTGCTTGAGTTTTTCATGTATTTGTTTTATTTTTGTATGGCTTTAGAGAGAGACAAAAATGCACATTGAATGCTGGCTATCGGTGAGGAGATTTAAACAGAGCTCAGTACACAATTAATTACACCAGCGCAACCTTTCGACACGAGGCGAGTATTCGTTGGTGTCTAAGGGAATACACGTTGTTTTGGTTTGTTTTTTAGTAACAGTCATTCTGCAGTGGTACAACAGCAGCCCATGCAGTCTTTGAAACTGAACACATTCTACATTCCAATGTTTTAAAACGTGCAGAGAAACCCAGTCTGTAGAGCACATAGACCACATGTTGTCAAACTCGAGGCCCGCGGGCCAACCGTGGTCCGCCAAGTCACTTTATGTGGCCCACGGGAGCTTAAAAAGTGTTTCATTGCCCTATAATAAAGCCCATGTTGATAAAAAAAAAATGTTAATGCACTGCAATGAACACTATTTGTAACTTGAATAAATAATAATCAGTCGCAGTTGATGTTAATCACATACAAGTTTTTAAATTATCCTCTGCTTAAAGACACTTCTTCCCAAAAAACCAACCGTGGCATCAGTGTCTCCTCAAACTCCTGACAAAAAAAATAAAAATATATGCGTTGTATTAACCTACACACACACACGCCCACACAGCTTCAAAGAGGTGCATTTGCAGCAGTTGTTGTTGTAACCGCACAGACACCGTGCTGACAGTGAGCTGAGGAGACACTGATGCAGACGCAGTACATTTCTGTAGCCACATCCTCCCATCACACCCCAATACGAGGCCTCCTCTCACCATCACAGGGACTGTGTGAAAACATCTGAAGTGTTATCAGTCTGGAAACATCTCAAACATGAGTGTTGGATATTAAAAGAAAAATGAAAAAAAACAAAACAAACAAATGAGCTACTTCAGGAGCCTTAAAGCCAATTCTAATCACATGTTGCATGACATGTATTTATAAAATGCTGTATTTTTTTTATTTTTTTCCTTTGGCAAAGTATGTTCTATTTCTGTCCTTTTCCCCGTCCTCCTTGCTCTGTCTGGCTTTTTTTTTTTCTTTTTTTTTTTTTAATGGTTATTGGCTGTCTCTGCTCGTCACTCGTCACCTTGTGTGTTTACACTGCATCCACACCTCACATGTGAAACCTCAGGTCATTCAACACACAGCGTGGTCCTGCATGTGGCCGAGTCTCGTCTCAGCCAGACTCTTATCAAAGTTAGAAGAAGCGAAGATGACAGAGCGAAAAAAGAACAATTCTAAACTCACAAAAAAAAAAACAATAATGTTAATGGGGGTTAAATCAGTGGATTTAAGAATTGGATTTTCTTATAGAAGACTCATCCGTCACTTTCATAGAGACATATATTAACAGGTTTCAGGTTTACACTGATGTGGATTTATCTGTAGATCTGCTCGTAACACATTTTATACACTTAGGAGTATTTCAACATTTAATTCAAACTCATGTCTTTTTCTTTTTTCTATTTTTATTATTATTATTACAGGGCAAGAAAAAGAGAAGAAAACGAGAGAAGCAGCAGGACTCTACCACAGGTAAACACCTCGACATTTTTAGATTCAGAAATCTTTGATTTTGCCCATTGAAAAAAAAGCCTCAGAATATTAATAAAATCAAAGGTTGGAGTGAGTGAAAAATAAAGGGCAGTTATTTAAGGGACCGTCTGCAACTTGTATTTGCAGCATATGCAATGAGGTAATGTGGTTGTGGTAGTGAACAGGTGTAACTGGTAAGTATACCGGTATTTAACAGTCAAGAAAAATTAGCACACACACACACACACACACACACACACACAGACATGCAGATGTCATGACTCCATATATCAGTCAGCGGTCAGCTCTTGTTTTTGACAACTCGGTCAGAAAGTCTGCGTTGGTGCAGCGCAGCGCAGCACTCCTGCCGTCTTTAAGACAGGATGTATCCCTTACGTCAGAAACCACCCACCCACCCACCCACTCTGATTTCCACGTAACCTGAATTACAAACATTTTATTCCCTGTAGCTCGAGCTCCGTCCCTGCATCTGCTGGCGCTGGTTCTGAATGCGATGTTGACACAGATAATTTTTCCTCTTCAGCCTTTTTACCGTGTCAACGTTTTTTTTTTTTTTCCCATATTTACACTATACTGCACTGTAGCAATAATGGAAAAGAAAACAATATTGCAAATAGAGTTAACCATTTAGAAACATCATGTGAATTTACACCCTGACCTTAAAGGTCACACAGCCTTGTCCTGAACTGACCTCAGTTTGAGGCCCAGATATTTTATGCTTATTAAAAAAAAAATTAAAAAATAGCAGGAAGTCCTGAACCCTGCAGCTCAGACCAGTAGGTGTGTGTCTGGGTCTGTATCTGTTCTCTGACCACCGTGTACTAACTGACCGAAGTCCGTCTGTTAGCTTTAACTGCCTGACTGAAGAATGAACGATCGGCTCGACTCACTCCTGCCTGGGTTTATATTCTGCCGGTTGTTGACGTGTTGCTGTGCTGCTACTAACATTCAAACACTTACTGGCTCCCTTCTTCTTTTTTTCTTCTTTTTCTTTCTCCTTTTTTTTTTCTTCTTCCTTCTTCTTCCTTCTTCTTCCTTCTTCTTCCTTCTTCTTCCTTCTTTCTTCTTCTTCTTCTTCTTCTTCTTCTTCTTCTTCTTCTTCTTCTTCTTCTTCTTCTTCTTCTTCTTCTTCTTCTTCTTCTTCTTCTTCTTCTTCTTCTTCTTCTTCTTCTTCTTCAACACTCTCCTGTCTCTCCGTGCTCTCTCTTTAACTATTTCACGTCTCTTCCTTGTGCTTCTCTTTGTTTTTGATGCATGCTGTGCTTGTTGCTCAGACCCCGGTTCTCCTAAGAAATGCCGGGCCCGCTTCGGCCTCAACCAACAAACTGACTGGTGCGGTCCTTGCAGGTGTGTACAAACATCCACGCCCACCCACGCCGTCCGTCCAACTCTTGGTTTTCCCTCCATTCTAACCATCTGCTCATTAACCAATCATTTCCATCTGCATCAGTCCTGGTTGGTAAAAAGGCAGAAACAATCTTTTACCGTTCAGTGCCTAATCCCAAATTTAGATTTTTTTTTAGTTTGAATTTCCCTCTAGATTACTCCGGCCTTTTCCATTAACAAGCCAATGAGATTGTTTCTGTCATCTTCACCTCCACCAAACATTTCAGCTCGGCATCTGCATCCTTGTCTGCCCGGCACGCCATACAATTAGGGTCAAAGTTTGAGGTCATGGTTAGATTTGTTATATTGACAATAAAGTGAGAAAAGGGTCATTTCAAAATAAAAGGAACGATTATCAATAATAATAATAATAATAATAATAATAATAATTGGTATAAAAGGGGAGTTAACATAGCCAAGAACGCAAAATTTAGCTAGCTGTTCAGCTAGTTTGCTAATGTTAAATTGGAGAGGTTTCCTACAGGTAGTTAGTTTCTACGATCTATGTTAATGCTTACAGAGAGAGAGAGGAATAAAAAAGTTATCAACACATTAGTGCAGTGTTTTTCAACCACTGGGTCATGGCCCAACCAGGGGTCGCCTGGATTTGAAATGGGGTCGCCTGAAACGTCTAGTAATTGATTTAAAACAAAAAATTACTGAATTTTTTTAAACAAATTATTATTCTTTTTACAATTATGAATAAAAACACTCAATGACTTAGTCTGGAATGAAATTAGTTTCAGATCTGGAAGAATTTCACTCCTGCTCAAGGTTTGTCTCTGAGTAAGTCTGCGTACGTTTACTGGTCTTGACTTAAATCCTGTGAAAAAAAATCTGCGGACCAATCCGAACAGCCCTAAACAGTCACGGTCTGACATTTAACCATTAGCATCAGGAGGCTAATCTTTTCAACCTGAACATTCAGTCAGTTTTGTGGAAGAGTTTTGATTCCGCGTGCGAAGCTAAACGACGGAGGCTTCTCGAACAAAGCCAGTCTGTCACACGTGAGGTCGCGTCGGTACGTTTGACCTCCCCTTCGCTGCGTTATAAATATGAAATGCCTGTTTCAGTCAGAGCAGTATTTACAGTAGAGAGTGGTCAAACAGCTCCGCTGCAGGAGTCACAGATGTGTGCAGCTGTGCAGAAGAAGAAACCACAACAACGAGTCTAAAGCAACCCCGCCGCCGTCTTCCACCATCACGTCATGGAAATTAGCATGCGTGTGTGTGTGTGTGTGTGTGTGTGTGTGTGAATGTGTGTTTTGGTTCAAGAGAACAAAGAAGGGGTGTATGTGGTTAGAGCAAATCCTTATCACCGCAGCTCACACACACACACACACACACACACACACATACAGTCCCTGCAGCTTTGCATTTCGACAGCGTTCTCATGCCCATCTGCTTTCAACTTTCTCCATTCATGCGATGTGGTAACGGGCGCCTTTTGATGGTGAACTCTAACATTTAGAAGTCACTTTCTGCTGCACTCTTCCTCCCTCTCTCCCTCGTCTTTCTCTGTAAATATGGCCCTGCGCCTGTTCCTTGTGGTTCAACCTGGTGACTCATATCACAATCTGACGACGATGGTGGGATCCTGTCAAAAGTCCTTTTGATGCTACATGTGTCACAAAGTGAATCCCCTTCACTGCGCCCTCACACCGCCGGTGCTGTTCGCGCATTTTAGACGCACGACAAAATGTCCAGCTGCAGGGCAAACATGTGGACAGTGGTCCCTTGGTGAACACCTGACATCTGGAAACCTGGTCCCAAAGAGGATTTTTAAAAGAAAAACTGAACCAAATATATATATAAAAAACATTGATGATCAATTTCAGTACTAACTGGAGTTGGGTCAGATATAAAGGAGGATGGAGTACATAGGTTTACACATCGATTGATAATTGACGCAAGCTAGGGTGAGAAGATATAACAGCAAGATAGTAAAAAAAAAAAAAAAAATTATAAATGTGGTCAGAAATGAAGCTAAAGATTAGCCAAATGTTGCAAAGATTTGAATCAAATGTAGCTGCAAAAAAAACAAACATTTTATTAAGTACATTGTAAAAAAGTAAATATTCACAAAAATAAAAATGTTCAGAAAAATGCCAAAAATGACTCAAAAGATAAAAAGGAGCCAAACATAAGAAAGATAAAAAAAATTGCTAAATAATATACTCCGATTAACTGTTTGTGTAGCTAACAAGAATTCAGTTGACGTTAGCTTAGAACGGTTTGCTAAAGTTAACCCCGTGACCTTTAGCCAATAGACCGTCGACTCTGATACTTTTGTGGTGTACTTTGTGATCACGCGGTATGTGTTTGTGTTGTGTGTTTGTTGACTGAGCTCACTGTGAGTGAGTGCTGCATCTCCATCGCCACCTGCTGACGTTTCCCCATCCACACTTTATTCACAGATAACTCTCTCTGACTGTCCCTAGGAGGAAAAAGAAGTGCATTCGCTACCTTCAAGGAGGAGGCTGCCCCAGTCCAACTTCTTCAGATTTAAGTGCTATAGACTCTCCTCCTCCCTCCTCCTCCTCCTCCTCCTCCCCGCCACGCCTCCCTCTCTACCAGCAGCAGCACCACCAGCGTCGTCCCTCTTCCTCTTCCCCCTCCCCGACACCCACGTCCCCGTCCGGTCGCCTCCCCTCGTCTCCGCCGTCCCGCACGCGCTCGCACTCGTCCCACCTCGCCCTGCAGCAGTTGACCAGCAAACACTTCGACCGCGTCCAGTCCACGGGCAAACACACACACCTGGAACTGTGCGGCAAACACAACGTGACGATGGCGCTGTCCGCTGCCAAAGCCGCAGGACTTTCCCTGAAGGTTCTAACAGAGACTTAGTGACCGCCCCTCGGTCGCCACGACACCGGTCACGTCAGCTTCGACCACAGCTACCGACATTCCGACATTCACTTATGTCAGCGTTGACCAGAATCCCCGAAAGACGTTGCTCGTGTCGGGTCCCTGGCTGGTTTCCCAAAGTCATTGTTCCAGTCACCGCTACCCGGTCAAAGGTCAAAGCCCCATCACTTGGTCACTTCTTTTATATGTTTTGACATATTTGTGGTTACAGTTAATGATCATCTCAAAGATGTTACCGTAACTCCACCGGACGGTCCTGTCACACTTCTGGTTCTGATGATCCGATGAGTCCTAGTAGAAATCGAAATACGAAAAAAAAAAAACTTGACCAACAAAAAGTTGTCCTACGTCATCCTCTCAAACCAAGCTGTCATCGGTTGCCATGGAGATTCATAACAGCCTTGACTATGACAGGACGACAAATCAGATTCGGTGTTTATTTGCTAAGGTTCTGGACAGAACTAGACCTGACCAGGATTGTCGCTGGTGTTTCTGTGCGACCGTTGCTAACAGCTTCTTAGGTCAGCTTTCTTTGGATATGCAAAAAAGAATGATTCATCACCAATCAGTCATGGAAAACATATGTGTGTGGTTTGTAAATATTAGTTTTACCAGTCATCCTGTTCACATCACTGTTTGATTAAGTCATATTTTGATGGCGAACAAGGATTATGTATTGAGCGCTGAACCGGGAATCATGGAATCACTTAAGATAAGCGAGCCTCTGAACAAGCAGACGAAACCCTGAGCAGTACCAGATCAAACAGTTCCAGTTACCTCCACTTTAGCTTCGATGACAATCCTGAAACACAGATCCTCTGAAAATCATCATTATCATCATTGATTTTACATGTACAGTGATGTGCATTAGTCTTAGACTAAAACTACCTTCTCTAAACCATATAGACTTAAATATGGTTTGTTTGAAAGCTGTTCTTGTCACGTTGGTTCCTCCATGAATCACTTCAAGGTGATCTACACCTTGATCTAGCACCGGCAGCGTCCCCATTGAGAAAATTCAATGACACGTCTGAGAACACGTGGTCACTTCTGTATTTTTCTGTTTACCCCATCAAGAGTCCAGTCTCTTTTCTCTTTTGCCACTTCTTGAACAGTCTTTTTTATTTTTTTTACGTTTCCCCGAAAAGACGCTACTTTGAGATAGTTATGGCCAGTTGCAGCTTCGTTTTGTATTCTCTACTTTTCACCTTTTTTTTAATATCTTGTTGATCAACTGTATGGACGGTGTGAATCATACCAGTACAACAGTACTGGTTCTCCTGCAAATATCCATTGAAAACTTGAACGAAAAGACTCGTAGAGATTCTCAAGAATTCAAGCATGAAACACGTTACTAAAGACCTGAAGATATGTTCAAAACAGTGTATTTTTAATCTAGGTTTTTCCAGGTACAACATTAAGAAACACAGATGGCTAATACTAATGCACACCACTGTAAATTTATATACATATACATTCATTTCTGTTACTGAGACCAAATTTCTGATTCAAGAGTGTCAGCCAACGACCTGTCAGCCTGACCAGCAGAACTGCTGCCATTACTAATAAAAACCTGACTTCAGTTACATTTTCAAATCATCAAATCATATTTATTCGTATCATTAGTTAAGGCACTTTCAGGCCGTCACTCTCCCGTTTCTGCTAATGTCTGCGCATCTTATCATTAACCAGTTTATTTTCAATGTCCATTTCTGCGGGCGGGGAAACCCTTTGAAGAAAGACAAAATGTTTTTTTTTTTAATATTATTTTAATATTTCTGTTTGTTTATCCTCTTCTGGACATTTTGCAGCTTCCTAAACCGAGACCAAATGGGTACTATTATATTGCGTTGTGTTGTAAAGTTTTTTTAAATGTCAGAATTCCCTATTATAATTAAACTTTTATGTTTTTATGTAAAAAAAAAAAAAAGTCAAATTACAAAAAAAGTTTTCACCATTTGTTAAAGCAATACCTTTAGCGTGTGTACTGTGCAGAGCTTTACTCTCAGATGTCTGTTCAGTCTGTGCATGTTTTGTAACAATTATTTTCTTCCATCAGCTCATGTTAGCGCAGCAAAACCTTCCTTCTCCAGCGGAGGGCGCTCCTGTGCTGTAAAAGCTCGTTTTCATTTGCGGATACAGACCTTAAGGCGAACAATCTCACGTCCTGTGTATTTTTTTAGGCCTCTGATGTATTACGTTTTCGTTTGGTGTATTAAAAGTGTTTTGACTACATTTTTATTTTATTTTTCTTCTTCATAAATTGCCACCCTCCAGCTCTACTTCACACAAAGACGACACACGCTGAACTTTCATGATTTATTTACTCCTTCAGTTTGAAACCATCCTAAAAACCAGCATCAGCTTTTCCAAAAAGAAACTAAACGTTCCTATTCAATACAATATGAATCAGGAATGTGTTACCCAACACTGCGTGACACAACAAAGTACTTCAAGTCCAAAGGGACATGGCGCAAAAAAGGTTTCCACCACAAACCTAAACTTGTTTTTCCACTTAAAACAGCCCAAAATCACTTGAACATGATTTTACAGAACAAATGCATTTAACAGGGTAAAAAGCTAAGTTCACCCTTTAGATTCCATAGTCAAAAAAGCCTTTTTATTAAAATTAATGAATCTAAAATAAAACACGTCCAGTACAAAAAACAGCAATAACAGGGAAAATTCTGCCTTCTAATTGTTGAGGCTACAAAGCCATGAAACCAGATCTATTGATATTATTATTTATTTAATAATGTGGATACGTGACAACTGCAGCAACAAAACTCCTGTAAATGAATATCACCACGCAAGCAAGTTAAAATGGTCATGCTCGAGGAAAACTGAGGAAAGGGGGGGGGGGAGTCACGTGGCTTTAAATATACTAAATGTAAATATTAACAAGTATGAACAACGCCAGTGCAACCAGTTTTTCAGAGACGATCCTTTTCAGTGTGGTAGTGTTGGCAGGATCGTTGCCTCTACTTCTCTTCACACCACTGGTTCTCTTTGCGTACCTGGGGAGCAGATGAGGAGGGAGAAGAGTCAGTGATGTCACGTGTTTCATTTGAGACCATGTGTAGGTTATTGTAAACAAATACAATCCCCTTCTATTTTCTTAAAAAAAAATCGGTGCAGTTGCAGAGTTGTCACAAAAGTCGACAGTGCCTTCTTGTGGCGATAGATATTATGGCGTATACCTTTCTTCACAAGTAACTTTTGAACACGTATCACAAGTCTACCCAACCCACTAAGAAAAAGTGTGACCTATAGTCCAGGAAATATGGTAGTTTTTATCTAAAGCCATAATATCAGCAGTCCCTTCAGCAGCTAAAAGAATCCAGAGCTAAATGTATTTCTTAGACAGTTGACATTTCTATTAAACAATAGCTGGTACCAGTGGGTTTTCACTAATATCAAGTAATTCATTAACAAGATTTTTAACTCACTCTTCTGAAGCTTTCATTAGCAAATCGCTCACTGTTAACACAGTCCAGTACCATTGCAGCTATATGTCACCTACCTGAGCTTCCTCCTCCTCTGTGAAATCATTTTTAATGTTGAAGGTCTTCCTGATCTCCTCGGGGGTTTTGCCTTTAATCATGTTGGCCACCGTCTTACAAGTGACGTCTAACAGACCTTTGATGTCCAAATAGTTGGCGGCCTGACGAGAGAAGACAATGTTTTTAGTAAAACAGGCATAAGGGCACAAGTATCTGGTTTCTCTGAACCTTTACGAATGTTATTAAGAGAACAATTCCGTCGACTTGGCACAAATGTTTTGAAAATGTCTTTTTTGTTTTCCGTAATCTCACATTGGGGTCAGCCTCAATTTTGTGATTGAGGCAAGCCCGGCGTTTTATTCACACGCCACCTTGTGTTAACAGGTTATGAATATGTTTGAAATGATATTGATTTAAGAGAAAACACTTCTTTTTGTCCTCAGATTTAATGGCCATGAAAACACAGCTACAGTGTTTGTTCAACACGAGGACTCGGGATAAAGTTCAAGACTTGAATTACACTTCCTGGTAGAGCATAGCTGTATGGACACCTACAGCTTCCTAATCTCTGCTCAGGTTACCATTCTCACTGTTGCCAATGTCTTGTTTACTAGTGCTGTACGTGTTCAGTTAAACGCAACACATTGGTGCAACCCTTTTCATCTGTAGCCACAGAACGTAGAAAAGAGGGTTGAGAAAACCAATGTGCACGTTCAGGCTTACTGTTAGCCCCAAAGAGTTACTGACGTTACAATTCTTCCTTGTCCATTTTACACGTTGTATTCCATTGCAAAAAAACAACATATATTTATCAATTTATTACTTGTATTTACCAGAATTAGCTCAAACAGGGTTCCCTGGTCAACTTTGAGGAATTCCTGGTCCCACACAGGAATGTCATCCGTCCTCTTCTCCTTGTTCTCGTCATCCTCAGGTGGAGGAGGGTCGTCTTTGTGATGGGTGCACCACTGAATCACCTGATGGAAATAAACACCAAAAAACAAATGTACAATGTACATTGGTTATATTAGGCCACTGACCCAACTACCACATATCAGTAGTCTGTGTGGTTGAGTTTTCTACCTTTTTTAAGATGGCAGCGTTCACATTAGGAAGAGGAACTGGGTCATCGTCTCCTTCATCGTCCATCCCCAAATCTGCAAAGTAATCAATGTAAATGTAGTCAGTGAGTAACTTATTGGAACTTCCATTAACCTACTTAACTATATTGAAATTCTGGCATAACATCACATGCAAGAAACTAGTTAACTAGTTTCTTTTTGACACTTGCTTTATCTAGTTAACTAGATAAAGGAATCTATATTCGTACTTTGAGCTACAAAACAAATCACAACCTTTTGTCAAGTGTTTCTCCAGTAATATGTACCATGGTTTGGTAAATCATTTGAATAATAAAACTCGTGAATGATGCAGGGACAAAGTCCTGAGTACGACACGGTTCTGAAGACGTACCTTCTAACATTGTCTTGATGGTGACGGACTGTTTGGCTATTTCAACGTCCACTTCAAAGAGTTCTCCATCAGAACTCTGTAGTTTAATTGTAGGCATTTTCTGCAGATGGAAAAAACAAACATTTTATATACATACAATTTTAAATAATGTGTGATTTCGAGTGGTTTTACACTAAGCTTTGATAATCCGACAAAGTTACATTTTACGTCAAGCAATTCAAGTCAACTAGTAGTCAGCCGCAGCTCAACAACGCCGACGTATTTGCTAATTGGTAAAGAAAAATTGTTTCATTACATTCTAGAGGTATTTTTTTTAGGTATTCTAGTTTTTAAGCAAGTAGAGGTGTTATTATATATAAGTTCAAATTCGGTTAAATATCACATCTGTATGAACGACTGTAACGGTAACGCTTCCAACAGCTAAGGCGCTAACATTAAATGTTTACTGCAGAAGCTAACTGATGCTAACCACGAAGCTAGCTTTTTAAATTGTAAGTAATCACATTTAACTAAGTTACAAGGCTTTCAATTGTGTCTTTAATATCCCAACAACGAATGACAGTCTAGTTTGTCTTTAAATTATTGTGTACACCATTTAAAAATTATTAAAACCGCGAACTAAGCGGGCAGCTAGCATTACTGTGCACAATGCTGCACCGCTTTGCAACGTCAATAAGGCCTCGCAGCCGAAGCTCGTCAAGAACAAACCAAAAACAAACGGCACAGCATGTAATTTTGCCTTTACATCTGTGAAAGCACAAAACTGAAAGTGTATCTACCGTTACTGTTTGAAGTCAGATCCAGAAGCGGACCTTCTGTATGGACAAAGTGGTGCTGACAGGCGCAGCGAGGCGGCTGGAAGTGTCTGAATCAACCTAGTGGTGGAGAGGCTGCTGTTGGTGCCCTGGAGGCTGACGATGGCTTTGTCCAACTCAGCCTGGAAGAGGAGTGTCCGCCACACGGAAGCCTACTGTTCCTGTTCGTCTGAAAAACTCCAACCACATTCTCACAAAGTCACTCGGACAAATCCATACTAACAGGTATGTTTATGTAAAAAAAAATATGTTTCGTAAAGTGAGGCTTAATTTCACCCAAGATCAAAGTATTCTGTTAAATGTGCCTTTTATACCATTTATTCCCAAGATATATAGTGTTGTACTTAAAACTTTTGAACTTATGAAGATTTTTTTATAACAAGATAACTGGTTCATGCCAAAGTGATAACTAATGGTTTTTTTTTTTCATTACGTACCCGAGTCTAAACTGACCAAAGGTGTGAATGTGAGTGTATATTGTATTTGTATACTAGTATACAAATATGTATAGAATACTTATACGTATATACTTGAATTTCTACATGTAGTACACCTGTGGTGAACTGATGAACTGTCCAATGACTGTTCCAGCCCTTCTGTGATCTTAAAACGTATTATTAGGTAGAAGATGAATTAATGGATTAATGACTTCCGTTTTCTTTTGCAATGAGCATATATGAAGTCAAGCAAATCCATTTAGAAATTATCTAATAACTGTATTTTTTTGTGTGTGTGTGTGTATTTTATGGTCTGTATTGTCATTGTACCACGAGGATACAACTGCTCAATATAAACAATCGATCTATCTATCCAGGTTGTTAAACACTACAGTACTTCAGTCTACGGAGCTTAATGACTTTAATCCTGTTTTTCTCCGGAGTAGTGAAATTCTACGATTTGACATGTAGTTTATTTATCAATGCAAAGTACTGAGTGTTCGTGCATTTTTCATAATAATTATTTTATGACATAACTGTCATATACGCCGCAGTTATCTGATGTAAAATTGTCCACAAGGTGGCGCTTTTCCTTACATTTCCTGCTGGCCTTTCAAGTGCCCTTCAAACAACGCAGTCCAGTTTAAAGCATGTTTCATCATCGTACACAGCACTTTGAGTTGTGCGTGTGCGTGTGTGTTTGTGTGCGTGTGCGCGCGTCTGGTCTTTTTAGGGTTTTCTGCAGTACCTTCATTTTCCTAATGGCTGTGCTTGTCTGTTTCACTAAAGTTTGTTAAATCCACTCTCCTAATTTGTGGATCAAAGACTCCTGCTCTCAGTCCCCACAGTATTTCTGGTTCCTTTTTCCACCCCCCATGTCTTTCAAGCTTCTTGTGTTTCTTCCATTTTACACTTTTAATCTCATTGGGGAAATGACTGTCTCCATGTAACATCTTTTAGCCAGAGATTAGCACCAGTATGCAGGGGCAGTGGGCTGGACTTTTTACTGCAACCAGGAAGCAGAGTTTTTGGTTCTTGCAATGAACACCACACTTTTGCGAGGGCCAGGATTCAAACTTCCAATTCCACCTTATCAATCTATCACTTGAGCCATCCTCTTCTTTTCAGTTCAGCACAGTTGATTGGCCATCAATGACTGAGTTGACAGATACATCTTTTCTTAGACTCCCATCACGGAGTCTTCTCTCCATAACCCTTGCTTAAATGTATACACACTCTTCCCCTACAAGTCTAATTTATTTTGTTTGTGTTGTGTTTAAGCATCTGTTCAGCATCAAGTGAAAAAACAAACATTCATAGACATTTTTGTCTTTTTTTTATTCAAACAGTTTGGTAAGTACAGACTCTGTAGTCAGAGCGGGTCGGTGAGTTGATGTGGAGAAACAAATCCATCATCTGTCAATCATACACACCAGGCCGGGCAACTTCACTGAGAAGGGCTTTCCATAAAAGTTACACAGAAAAAAAAATTGTGTAAAACCTGTCTGAAAGGGACTTTATTTATAGTTTTTTTTTTAAAAAAAGAAAAGTATCTGTAGTGTGGAATCCATTTTATCTTTTGACATATTTTACATTTTTTTTAATTTACAAAAGTGCAAACAGATCAGAGCTCGTGTATATATACTTAAGCTTTGAATTTGGGGATTTAAACAGCCGCATTTTAAACGTTTGTCTTGTACGTTGGTGTCATCAGTCAGCTACGTAGGAACAGGACGAGGGAGACATACACATCACTGTTGTTTCTCATGGTGATTTTCAAGACAATTCCTCAGCAATGTATATTGTAATGGATATGGCACACACAGTTTGGTCTATCCATCGACACAGTTTTTTTTCTCGCTAAATACATTAGTAGCTCTTTGTGTGGTTATACAATTTGCACTCCTGTGTCTCCCCTCCTCACCCTCCCTCTCCCACAATCCCATCCTCTCTCATGCTGTCATCAGCTGAAGGTCACATATCATGGCAATACTGGACTTGACTGTACATGGGTCAAAGGTTTAGAGTTTACAGGAAGTAGTCAGGTGTCCGGCGGGTGACGTGAGGCTCCCCTCTGCGAGGCGCTGGGTCAAACTGCAAACTGAAAACAGATGGACAGAGTTATTACTTGTGTGATAAATGTATATGTATATAGGATGGCAAAATCCACCCTTTTCCTAGGACAGTAAAGGCATCACTGACTAGATCTCTGGCTTTACTTACAGACTGGAAGTTGTAGAAATTGCAGCTTTTATCTTTTACTACTTTCCAAATTACATGCACTCAGGTCTTTTAAATATACTTACAATGAGTATTTCAGCGTGTCGTCTAATTCCATAATAGCTGCCTGGTTCCCACAGCGGTAGCAGTAGTTTGGAGCACTAAATATTGTCACCACATTTCTTTCATGGCACCAGTTGTAACCCTGCAGAAAACAGATGCACTTTTCATTACGGATTTATGAAAACGACTTCTATAGAGTGTCTTTGACAGAGCTTGGTGCTCCGATGTTTACGTTTAATGTGACAAAGACATTAAAGGGTCTGATCGGAAACGCACCTCCATAACCAGCTGGTGGGCACGGGACACCAAAGTGAGGCGATTGGCATGGTTAAATGTCTCCGAGATATCCTGGCCGAAAGTGTAGCCAGCTCCTCGAGGAGAAATACCCCAGCCGCCGCGGTCATCGGGGTCTGACCATAGCAGGTCACACATGGGACCCTGCAGATAAGAGAGGAAGAGGTGTTAGCACGACTCTATAGAGAAGATAGGAAGAGGTGTTAGCACGACTCTATAGGCCACCTTCAGTAACAGATGTATCTGATTGAATAGTCTCTTTACCTCGTGTGGCACTTCCTGTAAACGGTCCAGAGCTCTTATGTGATCAAGTGTATCTATGGATGGTGAGAGGCCACCATGAAGGCAGAAAATCTAGGAGGACAAGAAATATCTGATCATCAGCATTGTCCTGAGAGCGATTGGCAGCAGTACAATACAGTGAGATATACACCAGTGCAGTGTCATCTAGACCTAATGGCATGAATCCAATCATAGAATGTTCAATTTCTTAGACCGGTGTGTCAAACATGTGGCCCGCGGGCCATAACCAGCCTGCTACGGTGTTGAATCCGGCCTGCTTGATGAATATTAAAAATAAAACAATACACAAACACTATTATTTTTATTTAAATAAATCACTTGACATGTATGCTGTCTGTGAACCAAAATGAGTTTGACACCCCTGTCTTAGACAGTCTCAAGTCATTTGAGTCTTAGCTTGGACGAATCCAAAGAGTTGGCACTCCACTTGGAAAAAATTGACTTGTGAATATCACTGCAACCTGAGACCAACCCACACTCATTCTCACCTGTGAGTCTACCAAGGCAGTGAGGGGGAGGTAATCGAACAGGTCTGTGAAGTACTTCCATACGTTGGCGTTCCCATACTTCCTTAGGCACTCGTCATAGAAGCCATACACTTGTGTAATCTGTCTGCTCTCATGGTTTCCTCTCAGGATAGTGATGCGCTCCCGGAAACGCACCTGAAACGCAAGCAGAGATCATAGGTTAGCTTGTGTTTATTTTGAAAGTTTCTGATGTAAACTTTACAAACTGATAACTGACCTTGAGTGCTACTAGTAAAGTGACAGTTTCCACCGAGTAATACCCTCTGTCCACGTAGTCGCCCATAAACAAATAATTTGTGTCTGGAGATTTCCCGCCGATCTTGAACAGCTCCATGAGGTCATGGAACTGGCCATGTACATCGCCACAAACAGTCACCGGACATCTGACCTCCTGGACATTTGACTCCTTGGTTAAAATTTCTTTTGCCTGGGGGAACCACAAAAGAAATTATAAGTACCTAGATTATTTGCAGTATTTTTTTTCTTTGTCATCTTCTGCTTTTTCAAGGCAGGATGAACGTCATTGTCTCTTTCCATCTTGTACATTGTTTTCTATCTTTCTTTCAGAGACAGACAGTTTTCTAACACAATCTCTCCATCAGCCTCCAGAAGGGGGCTACATTTAGCTGCTACCATGCCTGCAGCACAGCCCCCACCATCATTACTATAATCTCTCCCAGGAAATAACCGCCTACCTCCCGTGTGCCCGTGTGTGCCTGTGGTTTCCTGCAGGCTTGCTTTGCAGCTCCAGTTACATCACAACAGTTCTTAAAAATCAATTATTGCTATGCACCAGAAGGCCCGGGCAGTGTGGAGACGAGTGATTGGTGTTTTTGAATAACGCTCTGTGCTGTGTCCAGGAGAAACAAAGCCACAGTCAGTTACCCTACTCTACTCTACTGTGCCAAAAAAAAAGAAAATCTAAACCCAAAAAATGTGCCAAAAAAAAGAAAATCTAAACCCAAAAAAAAGGACATGACTCACTGACTGTAGCTGTAGGCTTTACAGGAAAGACGGGGTTATTTTAATTAACACTAACAAAACACTAGACATCTAGGTGATTTTATGCTGTTGCAGGAGAAAACGTTTATGGGTCAGACTGTCCATAGTTCACTGTAAAACTATACAAATACCGCAGGACAAAAAAAATAAATCCCAGACAAAAATCCTGCTGAGGCAGAAGGGTGAAGTCACACAAAGGCCTTTTTTAATGAAAAGCATGAGGGGAAACAAACGGTAGAAAATGATTCCAGTTTTTAAAAGGTGGATTTAATTTATTTCTTATGTTATTGCTTTGATTCATTGTTTGTTTAAAATTCTAGCTGCGCTCACTCAGCATCCCAAACAATAATCAGGTGTCATAATAATGACGATGCAGTTTTTCCTGGAGTCATGAAGGGTATGAAAACATTCCAGATGCAGACACCCACAACACTGTCTATTCCTGAATAGGACATACTCACAGGACAGACTGGTCTGAAATTAAAATATTTGAATTTTGATGACAAATATGCCTTTTGAACAACTAATTCTGTCCTAAGCTGAAACAACTTCTCTGAATGGAAGGTTTGTTTAAACATGCGGCTCCCGGGTCACAGGTTGGCCATGCCTGCTGGTAGTGCATGTTGTCAAAACACCCTTCCATATCATATCATATCATATCATAGGGAATGCAGCAACATCACCTGACAGTGTTGATGAATAATATGTTGAATGACTCATTAAATATGGTTCACCGCATGAAAGCAATTCACTTATCTTTACAAGATGATTCATCTAACTGCTGTTTTACTTTTACAGCAGTTGAAAACTAACTTTATATAAAGGATGTTTACCAATGCTGGGCAACAGAACTGTAAAAAATATTTTCAAAATCTCAACAAGATATTATGTAAGATTTTGGATTGGTTGAAAAACTTCTGAAGGATGTAGACGGATGGAATTCAAGCTGCTGTTTCCAAGAAACGTACGACTCCTGTCTCCTTTGTGTATCCGTACAGACCTCATACAATGACACCATTCTATTGGTAAATGAAAAGGTTGACAGTATGTTATGCAGGCAGGAGAACAGGCAGCTGGCAGGGAGCCTAGGTCCAGACTGCAAAAGAAGTTTAAGACAGATGTCATACAGTTAACAAACTGCTTAGTCTTGAAGTCTGCATTGCCTTGGCTGCCACTATATAATCCCATTAAAGTGAGTCAGATGCAGCCAAAGATCTTTTTAAATGGCTGACCCGTGACGACTGGACAAGAGGATGACCACAATCACAGAAGACCTCGTGCAAGATGTTTAAGTAGGGTAAAGATTAAGCATCTTACTGACCCCAGCACTTTAACAAGTGTGGACATCAGCAGCACAAACAGCAAAATAACAGCTGACAGGCTGATGTTGTCAGCATTTTTCATTATGGGTTTGTGAACTTAAGTAGAGATAAACATCCTATACCAGCACCAGTCCTTTTATTATTATTTATTCAACTGTTCACATATTTGGCCATGTAGATAACTATTTAAACTATTTCTTAAACTTCATTCAACCGCTGAAACAAACGTTGTAAAATAATATTGGGACACGATTAGGTAAGCAACCTATTTAGCTGACCCAACAATAGGCAAATAGACAAAGTTCACACAGAGACCACTTGGGTTTTCAGGAAGTAGGACAACCAACAGTACATGACCTAGTTGTCTTGTCTGTAACAATGAAAGATGATGTCAAATGACCTTCATGCTTGAATTGGTAAACAGAATTTCTCCTAGTCCTAATGACTAATGAATGTCCTTTTCATGCTGCGATACTATAAATGTCTGTTCTGTGATGCCTTTCGTAATCAGTTCAATTTAGCTCACAGAGGATAGGGCAAATTAACTGTCAATGTGTTTGGTAAGTCTGCATTTGTCTAAACACAAGGTTTGACATTTTATAAATCTCTGCTGTAAAAATAGACCAGATTATAACAATGTCTGGTACTAACATGGCTACTCTGTAATTAATCCAGGCTGCATACAGATTGCAGTCAAATTGTTGTACCGGTTCCAAGAATCAGGATAAAGACTGAAAAGATTTAGCTTTTCTCTGTGAAAATAGACCATTGAAAAGATTGACTTTTTTCCTTTTTATGCATCTAAAAAAATAGCCTCTCCCTGAACTGCATCAAACAGTACTGATACTGATCCCCTTGGTAATAAAGGTTTTGATCATGTAAGTGACGTAACTGGGAGTCAAACGCATTCTGAGGTATATATTTAAATCAGAGAGGGCGCTGTGTAGGTGTACAGTATATTGACAGGTTTATGAATAGAATCCACAGTAATAACCTGATTCCACTACTGGTGTTACATTGATCTTACATTGATTCAGATGAAGACAGTTGTCTTTATAATGTAAACTAACTTCCCAGGCATCATTTAAGATGGGGAAGTGAGAACTAGAGAAAGTAAGAGGTGAAATGCCATTTTTGTTGAATAGAGATGGGAATTTTGTGATGTGTTAACTAGCACAGCTGACATAATGAGCATTATGAGCAAGGGAATCTGACAGTGCTATATTCCATTTACAGGTGACGTTGTTGGGCAGAACTGGCAGTGATGTTATCTGCATTGTGAGCATCGCACACTGGAAGTATGGAACGCACAAGCCATTATGAGGTATTTGGTCCTTGCGCACAACCTTGCAATATGACCCTCAACACATCGACAATGTTTATTACTGATGCAATATTTTCTTGGCACGACGTGGAAAGGTTGTACCAGCCGAGCATGGCTCGAATGCCACAACCAGCAAGGGTATTGTTGATGATCACGTCCATCCCTCTGTAAAAACAACTGCTGCTAGACGCTCACAGCAGGGTAACAAGTGATGTCACAAAGCTCGGATTATCACAAAATGTTTTTCCAAACATGAGAGTCAGTTTACTTCACATTAAGGCTTTTCATAATCACCAGGTCATGGACCAGGGGATTAGCATCCTGGTGGTGCAGCTGACAAATCTGCAGCGTAAAACTGCTGTGTAAATACCCAGGTAGATCACGGCTCTTTAACCACTTTATCATCAGCCTAGGATTCATCAGTATTACAAGTAGATGGCACATATATTTTTCTGATACCCTGACTCTGTCCACTTAACTCAAGCTCAGGTGTGAAAAAATTTAAGTAGACCAAGCAATGTTGACTTCATGTCACTGTATGTGATTGTATTGTGTGGGTCATACTAAATACTTGGGACAGTAAAGTTGCTGCCTGGGTCCTGATTCCATTGTTCCAGAACATTCCCTTGTCCTAATTAACTCGTCTCCCCCTTTCTCTCCCCCCTAAACAATGTGAAGAGTAATTAATAGGAAGTCAGTGCAGTCGTAAAACTTTAGTGCAGATTTCACAGCCACACATCTCTGCTAAAGAGAGATGCCACAGGTCACAGTGACAGTGTCAATGAGCGTGGTGTAAATAAGGAATGTGACCTGCATTCATAGGAAAAGGCGACCCTGACAGCCTGGTCAACCCCAACAACCAACAACATGTCATTTAAAAAAGTCATGAGTTTACATACGCCCCATATTTGCCTTGATTCTTTTTAAAAAGAAGGCGCAAACGTCACTGGATGTAGGTGAGTGCAATGAAATGTATACTAAAGACGCCATTTTAAGAATGTCTTGAAGGCGGTGGGAAGGAAAGAGGAGACGCTGACACTTAAGTGTGCTGAGGAAGATTTTTTCTTCCCCTTAAATAAAACTCACCTTTTCACAAAGTGTCTTTACTTGACCTTCTGACAACTGCTTGCACTCGTTCAGCTGCTCGATCCATTGATCCAAATCCTTCGTAAACGCCTTTTCGTCCATTTGTCTGTGTTTTTCGGTGCCGCTGCAGTTCTTTGCTGAGAATACTTCTGCTGACAAATGCCGGAGGACGGCTCTCTGTAATGTCCCTGGCCCTTCCTTGGAGCTTATGAAACAGACTCTTCTGTGTGTCCTCTTATCAGAAGACGCATGGAGCAGTAACTGCCAGATTAGTAATGATTTGACTGAAATGAAACTGAGGAGAGGGCGGGAGGGAGCGACGTGAGCGAGTGATCCACCCTGTGCGACGATGTGGGACGCAATAAAAGACTGCACTTCCGCCGGTGACCTTCGAAATAAAAGCACTTGCCTGCTGCATGCATATATGTTGGAATGTATTTTTGAATTATAACATAAAAAAGGCATAGATACAAGCCGATATTTAAGAATATGGGTAATAACATAAAAAATACACGCCGATATTTAAGAATATGGGTCAACTTATCAACTTTACTTTAGAACTAGCGTGCTGGTAACTTCATAAAAGTGTAAATAACTTTCTGAAGATTTTAAAACAAATTTGTATTGGACATAACTTTTCAAATGTCACAAATTAAAGCAGGATTTGTAGAGTTGGTAGTAGAAACTACTTCAGTGATGACTGATTTACTGGCTGACAACCTACAGACAATACATCATCGCTGCCTCCGAGCATGCTGGAGATTTAACTGTCCAACAATGATGTCACTGTTCAGTGCAGAGCAGCCAATCACAATAAAAGACCTCAAAGCTGTGCGCTATCTACAAGACCTGACGCATGCATACAGGGTTGACTGTATTTACCTACACATTTAAGTTACTGATTCATGACTGTTATTGAGGACATAAGGTGCTCTTAAACCCGGTGGGCAATACTACATGACTGCACTGATCTGCCTATTTATTAACCAGGACTATATATTCTAGATGCACACTCCCTGACTTCACTCCCACATAAAGCACATGACTAGAAATGTTCTACCTTGTAATATTCTACTCCAGCCTATATAAAACCCAAGTACCATGACCTTTAGACACAATGTTTCTTAGTTGCTGGTTTCTGCAATATTTTAGGTTGCAATACTGTTGCAGAGACAGTTGATAGAAAAGTATTTTTTCTATTTATGTAGTGATTTCACACAGAACATGATTTCTAATTATTGATCGAAAAGACAAACCAAAATAATGTTACAACAACACCTGAAATACTGAGGTCAATATTATTAAGTCCCGTTAGTAATGACCCATCTATAGAACCTATTATGTAATAATACAGTAACGCTCTCGCTCTCAGGTTTTGAGGTAAAAATAAAGTTCATGCATCAAAAAGCCATACTAAAGCAGTCAGATCATAGTTACAAGTTCCACACGTTGCAGTGCTGTCGGAAATGCTAAACAACAGCCAAGAGAAAACGTGGTACTAAAATATTTAATATAGAATTCCACCTACTACATGCTTTGTAGAAAACATACAAACCCATGCTTTTGTAATTTTCTAGAATTTCTTTCAGAATTAAGTCCATTAAACGTGGTTGCAAATTATTTATTTTTTGCAATTATACCATCACGTATGCTGTTTTGGCATTTTTCTCTGCATGATTTTCTTTTTTCAAATACCCCAATGTACATAAAGCCTTTACAATAACTGCCAAGACACAAGCGAATGACTCAGTGCAGTATAACTGACATAATCCAAACAACACTGTGGGACACAGAAGTTGGATCATAATGCTATTAGATCATTGACCTTTGGTTAAAATTGAGCCCGGGGTTTTATGTAAAATGTTTTACAAATTTCCCCTAAGGATTACAGGCAAAAATGTGAAGACTTAACAGTAGTATCATGGTGTTCTGAGGGCTCTGTGTTCTAATGTTTTATAATCTGGGAAAGAGCGCTTCAAATGTAGCTGGGCCGTTAGCCTTATCCTTCAACCTTCCAGTGCATCTGTTCATCATACCATCGCACTGTTGTTGGACAAGTTTGAGCGTAGCTGCAAACTTTCCAGGCTATTTATACACATTAATGACTCTCGCTGGATTTCCTTTTTTGACAATGAACCTTCAGCCGAGAACACAGACCCGCTCTGACCACTTTTCCCTGAAATGTTACCTAAAAATAAGATTAAGAAGAAATGTCAGTGCCTGAAAGAGGACTCTTTTTTATCTCCATTGTGCTTCAGACAGGGATAAATAATGACCTCATATAGTGACAAGAGCATTCCTTGCATGTCAACTCCATACTGCAGACAGGAAATATTGCTGAAGAGGGAGTAACTAAAGTACTTTGAAAAATGTTCTGTTCTCTCCCTCAGTACACTGTGGTACTGTGGCTTGTACTCTGACCTTACAAGTCTTTAGTTAGCGATTCCCATGATGTGGTTATTTGTTTGTTCTTGGAAGCTGTGAAATTGTCCAAACAGAGATGTTGAGATGGAATGTAAAAACAACTTGTTTATTTCAGCCGTTCAAACGGATAAAACAGTGACTTTCTGACACTTCATAAAGTTGAAATAGTAGTAGTGGTAAATAGTCGCCTTTATTTTTCAGATTTGTTAATAAACCAGATTTAGTCAGTAAAACCTGTGGTGTCTACAGCAGCTTTAGCTTTTAGCACTCTTTGTTCACACTGGTTAACACTAAAAGTGACTTTCTCATTTGACCCTTGGTACAAAGGTCAAAACAGTGTTGCCGACTTTATAAATGTCAAACATAAAAGAAACAACATTAACACCATAGATACCACTGTTATTATTCACCACAGTGCCTCACAAACATTTAGGATTGTCTTTACATATTAAATGGACAAATCAAAAGTATTTCAGTATATTACAGTAAGTAATATACATCTACTGTATACACAGAGTTATGGACTCTGGCCTTTACATCCTATTATGCCCTTGCCTCAACTCAACTAGATTTAAGTATTTGCATTCATTTTTCATGTCCCTGTGCTTTGTCTGTCACTCTTCCATTCCGGCAGCAATGTCAGAACAATGTCTGACCTGAATGTGGCGGATGCTGGATAAGATCTGTCTGTCATGCCTTCGTAGAATCAACAGAAACTATCTGTGGATCACTGATGTTAGCAGACTGCACTTGAACTTTGGTTGTTGTTTTGTCCTCTTCTTCTGCTCCGACATGTGACCGTGGTTTGGATGTACGCTGACTTGAGTCTCAAACAGAGTAGCTGTTGAGTCATGTGGTTGATGATGTCAGTTATTATGTTTTGGACTTGTATAGCCTGGAGTAGTGTTCCTTAGAGGGCTGACTAAGCACGAAGTCTGTCTCCAAAGGGACTTTCTCGTCTAACCAAGAGTTATCCAACCGGGACCCTCTGTACTTGTTTCTTAACACACTGCCCTTTTCTCAGCAATTTCTTAAACTAAATTGTAGTCCGACTTTGCACCCACACCAAAGAATATGTTTCTGTTACAGTGTGTTTATGTGTGTGTTTCCTCAGTCCATATTTGAGCAGACAGTCTCTGTCCCCACACATCAAACGCACGTCGTGATCAAAGAATCGGTCTGCTCTTCCATTCAGCGCTGCTCTCTGATGAACAAACATATTGCCTTAATTAATAACCTTCATATCTTAAATTAAACACGCTAGGTTTCTTTGTAAACACAATTAAGCAAAAGGCAGGATGAAAAGGGCGACAAATGACGGAGGCAGCGCAGGGAGATGCTCGAATGAAACGCTTGAAAGGTCCCTTTGTTTTGTTTCATCGCGAGGCACAGAGGCAAACACAGACAAGTCACTTTTAGTGTGTTGACAACAGCAGCTTTTTACAGGAAAAGTGCTCTTGTCTTCCATTACCATGGTTTGAGTCTCGGTCTTCAGTAATCACTCTCAACCTGTTTGTCCCTTCTGAAGAAGCTTTCTTATGAATCCTTGTTGATTGGAGTCATCATGTCCTAAACATACTGTCAGAGCTCTGGGGACCAGCTTTTAAAATGTGCATCTAGCCCCTAAAGTGCTCAAAATGTCGTGACAAATGCAAAGTAACATTCACTGCAACTGTAAACATAAGGATTCATGCTAGTGTTAGCCATTATAATATGGTCAAATGTTTTTGTTGGTGGTTTGTTGTTGTTGTCAAAGTACTTGCTCAAAACAGTTCAGTTATCTGAACATTTATCAGTGTTTAGATAACTTACTGTTTTATTTACTGGTTGTAAATCTCTTCCAGTGGTTGAACCTATGGTTTATTTTAGGTCGTGATTCATTTCGACATTTGTTTTCCACAATAACATTTTACAACTTTGGAAACAACTCGGCCTGGTTGTCCTATTGTTGTAGCTCTGGCTCCCTGGCAGCTCTCCAGCCCTTTGCTGACTGCATCATGTTGTCTGGCCTGTCCATATTATTTATCTCTCTGTGACTCATGCTGTGTGTTTTTATTAGTCTTGTATTTTAAATACAAAACCCCTTCATTTAAATTGAATCCTCAGAGGTTGTGCCCGTTCACTATGCTGAGAGCGTTATTAAATATACATAAATGAATCAAGTTCTGGACGCCAGACTTTACTTAACAAAAATTAAAAAACTAAAGGCTACCCTCCTCTGCTCTGAGTAAAAAACACTAAAAGATGATCAGTTTCCAGATGATTAAAAAATGCAAATGAAGGAAACAAACATGTGACCTAATGGTGAATTTTTCCTATTTCTAAGGGTTTGAGAATATATTGCAAATTCTTAGTAATTAAACTCAGTGCATTACCAACTAAAATAATTTTCTTTTTACATTTTTTATTTAGAGTTTGTAGTTTGCAGCTCAATCAGGGACACAAGTGAATCTTTGGTGAACAGGAAGTGGACTTTTTATTCATATTTATTATTGTTTCACTTGTTTTCACATTAATGTATAAAGAGCACACAAACACCGGAGTATGCGAGGTTAATCCAAAACACCACATGTCTCCTGTGTATAACTGCAGGGCACGCACACACTGAGCTGCAGTAACCTGTTAACGACACCTGGATACAGGACTCTGATGTCAGCACCAATCAAATGGCAGCAAACGTCGACAGGGTCCGTTGTGACCGTTCAGTTGTAAAAAAAAGGTTATCCATACACCTGCTGATGATGACCGATGCCAAAATTAAAATTCCCCTTGTGTGCCAAGAAGGTTTGTGTAAAAGCTCTTTTAATTCCAGGCCGGCAGATGCAGAGGGTGTGTTTGATGTTGACGCCAAAGCTCTCAGAGGGAAATGACTGTAGCCTCTTATGAACGATGTAATCAACGAGAAGAGGGGTTGGCGGAACAGCATGTGATGAATTGTTTGT